ACGCTCTTTCCACTGCACAAGCGAACAGTACTTTTCTTACTCAGCAGGGGCTGAAGTGCAAACAGCAATATTCAAATTGAGGTAGCTTTTAATACAAAGCTTCTGGAAATCTAACAACACACTATTTATAATGAGGCCAGTTCTACTTATCATGTTGGAAAATGCAGGTGCCTAAAAGAAATAAATTATGCTAGTTCTCACCCTGCTAATTCCAAACTAATTTCAAAGTCATGCATTATCAGGCATGGAGTAGACTTAGGTCCCACTTGGAGATAACAATAAATGAAAAAGCCTCTTGATTTTGCTTCAATACATAAGCAACAATGGTTAGACTAACAACAGTAGTAGCAAATTTTTCCACCCCTGTGACTAACTGCAAATAATTTCCTTGTTACAGAATCCTCCAAAGAGCCACATGAGAATTCTGTAGCCAGTAGACTGGATCGGTTGATCCTTGGGCAGACTAATGTTTTGATCAGCTGTATTGCACAAGGTGAAATAACTTACATTTTCACTTACTTCTCTGATTATTAGGGTACTAGTGGTACTCCATGTCATAGAGCCCCAAACTAGTTATAAAAGTGGTTAGTGAAAGGGCTGTCAGGAGCGACAAGAGCTTTGCATTGGCTAAAAATCAAAGTATCTACCTTCTTGAGCAGATTGTACAGTCCACATTGAGTTCTGCATATCTTCTATTTCATTTTATTAATATGACTGAACAAGTAAGAGTCACTGTCAGAGTCGTTAAGGACTGGAACAGGCTCCCCAAGGAGGTCGTGGACTCAACATCCCTGGAGGTGTTCAAAAAACGTTTAGATGTGGCGCTTCAAGACATGGTTTAGTGGGTTTAGCGGGCATGGTGGTGTTGGGTAGAAGGTTGGACTTGATGATCTTTGAGGTCTCTTCCAGCCATATTGATTCTATGCTTCTATGATTTTAAGTAACTTGGTCAATATAAAGCAATGAGACTGAATCTTGGTTTGCATTCTTTCCCCATAGAGACTCAAAAATTAAATGTTTTAGTGTAAGTAGTTTGAAATTTATCAAAGCCAAATATATTGTAAGAAGCCACCTCTGTGCCATCGAAACAGCAAAATTACATACATGAGAACTATACCATTTCTGTGGAAATAATAGGAACTGAAACAGCTTACCTCAGGCAGCACATCTTCTGAGGCAGAAAAAAAGTACGTATAAACTATTAGTTCTGAAGCAACTTCAATGTATTTTTCCTGCAAAAATACAAACAATGTTTTTTAATTTCTGAACTTTCAGTATGCTTCAAACGAAAGTTTTGTGACATACCTTATCTTCAAAGATTAATTAGAAAATACAGTTCTGACACAAGATTGTAAAAACACTTCAATAAACATAGAAAAAGTTGAGAATTCATAACAAGTATGCATTTCAGTCTTTTAGAAGATCTTTTTAACTGCATCTGTGAATAGCCAAAAGAAATAACTTTATTTAATCAAGTTTCAAACCTTTAAAGGAGATTCACCACCAACATACACAAAAAGTACACGATGTCTCTTCTGCACATGCTCGAACAAATGCTGGCTAGGAAGCGGCCGGATAAGAGGTCTGGGAGGAGGGAAAAAAGACAAAGAAAAATCTCAGTTTCTGCAAGTTGCAAAATCCAAACAAATAAAAATCCCCAAGAAAATGCCATACAGGTTTTTTTATGTGTTCTTTTTTTTTTTTTTTAAACTAAATTCCCCAATGTAAATTCATTTATTTTTTCAATTTACTACTTCAGCTTCAACCAAAAGCAAAAAACCTACAAATCCACCCCACCCCCCATAAACTTGTTACATTTCTCAAATACCACATTTAAATTTGAAATTAATATCTTAGTACAAAATGCTGCTATGATGTAAACATGCACGCTATTTACTGGCCACAGAATCACAGATTGGGTTTGGTTGGAAGGGACCTTAAAGACCAGCTGGTTCCAACCCCCCTGCCACAGGCAGGGACACCTCCCACCAGACCAGGTTGCTCACAGCCCCATCCAACCTGGCCCTGAACACTTCCAGGGATGGGGCAGCCACAGCTTCTCTGGGCAACCTGTGCCACTGCCTCACCACTCTTAGAGCAAAAAAAAAAAACATCTTCCTATGTCCAACCTGCATCTACCCTCTTTCAGTTTAAAACCATTGCCCCTTGCACTGTCAGTACAGGCCCTGATAAAAAGTCTGTCCCCATCTTTCTTATAAGCCCTCTTTATATAGCGAAAGGCCACAGAAAGGTCTCAATAATTTGGGAGATAAAATTCTGAATGTAAGCACAGCAGTTAGAAAATGCAGTCTTAGAAATAATCTTACAGAATTATGGTAAATCATTAGAGATCACTGATATTCCTAAACTACAGAATTCTGAATAATAATTAATATTATGTACCTATATGAATACTTAATTGTATTTAAGAATGAAGGAAAGAAATGTGATTCTTTTTTCTCCCCAAAGATTACTCTCTATAACATTTTGAGGCCAGAGGCCACTGTAGGGAAGGAAGAAACAGTCAACAGCAATTGTTACAAATGATTCTGCAAAAGCAATTTCCTTATGTTTCCTAATTGCTGCAACTTTTCAGATGCATAAGCATATAGTAAACTGGTATTTCTAAGACAACTTTTGATTTTTAAACAGATTCTGCCTTAGTAATGATGTGTACCTATCAGCTAACATTTAGGTCAGTATTCTTGTTTCTGGCTTCCATGAGTTTCATTTGTTCATAGTTTCCACTACTCTGAAAAGCCCTTAGTTCTTGCACTGTAAAGAAGGGATTGTGACTAGCCTGTCTCTACTTACTTTCTCCGCGCCACTCGCCACCAGTCTCACATGCGACCACATGTATAGTACATATAGTTTCTAACTTAATGCCAACGTCTTGTTCTTTTTTTAAACAGATTTAATTTTTGGCCCAACTCAAAATCCTACATAAGTTTAAGTCACCAGAACTAGTCTCACAGAAGAGTGTACTTACCCTGCCACTCTATTAGCAAATTCAATTATATCATCTTTGGTTCTAGGTCCTCTATAGTTATATGCCAAGTCACCTTTTAAGCTAGATTAATAGGAAAGACAAAAAAAAGGAACAGAACTGAAGTCAACTATAGCCGCACATGTAGAATTACTCAATCTTCACATGTTTATTAGTCACCTTTTAGCAAGAGATAGGCAAGATAATTTTTCAAGTAGTCAGATAAAAGAAGTGGTCAGCAAAATATAAAACCCAAGAATGTAATACAATGTAATTATGGAGTAAAAACTTATTTACACAATATCTGATTTACTGACTTTTAAAAATAATTCACATTCTTTTACGATAAGTTTTTTCTAGTGCACAGCAGTCATTTACTTCGTACACACACGGGTCATTTGGAACATTTGCTTATGACTACACAAAAAACCCCACAGACCCAAACCAAACCCCAAACATTCAGCATTTATATTGCTTAGGGATTAGTGCTTGTAAAAGACAAACTTATAAACTTCTTTAATGCTTTTTATAATTGAAAAGTATCAAATGACCTGCAAAACCTTCTGAATTTATGTATTAAATTAAGCTTCCATGAAGTGTTGGTCAGTTTACTGTGCTCTGCTGACAGGGGATGTAGCACACTTACATTCTAAGAATATTCAAGTAAGTTTTACTAATTCTAACAGGCTTTCTTTGAACCCATATAGGTTTAAGAAACTCACAGGAAAAAAGTAATCATAAACCAAATTTTCTATGCCTCTATATGCCAATAAAGTTTTTCATCCTTAAAGATCAGTAAGCTAAATATCTCTGCTGGCTTCCAGAGAAAATTAACTTGACAAGACTTATTATATATATTATGAGTACTATTTCCTTAAACAATAACCTGCTAACAAACTTCGTACGTTCATAGTAAAAAGTACTGAAAATTGTCTTTATTTAACATGACCTTGTACTGAACTATACACTATAGGTTATAGAAGCAAGTAAATACATCATTATGGACTGGTATTTTCCTATACTTTAAAAAAAAATCAATGGACGAGAAAATGTATGTTAAGAAAAAAAAAATCCACATATACTTCTTTTGTCAAACAACTGCTCTCACACTTCACCCTACATAGTAACCACTACTGCCATTTACATAAGATTTTCAGGTACACTGAAGAGAAGAGAGAGGTCATTAAAAATAAGAAAATGCAATCAGCAACTCGCAAAAAATTAACATGAAGACTCACGAATGCACTTACTACCTGAACCACTCTATAGGTGTCAAATCAATTGGTGCATGAAATTCCTTTTATTTTTTTTAATAATGATATAATATATATATTTTAAATACGTATTTACACATACACACTTCTACAAAGTTGCACAGAAAACAGCAGTTAAGTGAATTCCAAATTTGCTAACCTGCCTTTAAGAATTCTGTTTCTAAATAAGATTCTTGATATTAGTGAATTTCAAAGCAAAACAGTCCAGTAGAAATCAAAGATAATGACAAAATGAGATCGTGGAGTATTTTTGTTTGTTTGTTTTTGATTTGGGGCTTTTTTGTGGTTTGTTTGTTTAGTATTTTTAAGCAGAGGACTTTTTTTTTTTTTAGTGTCATGAAATCAGTGGTAGGATAGGTAACTTAGAAATTCAATGGGAAGCATCAACTTACAGCTTAATTGTTGGATAGCCTCGCACTCCAAATTCAGATGCAATACCTGAAAGAAATGTGTTAATGCCAAAGTGAACCAAGACTTTCTTGCTCTCCTACCTCAATCTTTAAACAGTTTACTATTCAAGTTACATAAGTAAATGAAAAACCTGCCACTTAGTTCAGTGTGAATTGTTTTACTTGCTTTCAAAAAGCTGCTGTTATGAAGCTACATCATTTAATTTCGGACCTCTTTCAGATGTACTGCAGGGTCTCAGCATAGGTTCTCAATTCATATGCCACAAGTCAAATGGCATATGAATCCTCTAAACAGATGTGCTTGGTCCATCTTCACCAAAAGGTAGTATGCATTTAATATGCACATGCAATTAGCTGAGAATATCAGAGGCAAGAATTAAGCATCATGGATGTAAAGTTGTAAATACGAATGCTTAAAAGGAACATAAAAGACAATTAACTACTCAAGTGCTACAGTAATGGGTAACAGCAAAAGTGCAGTATCACATGATCGTAGTTATAAACCAGACAGTTTTTAAAGCATATTCTGCAGAGGTAAATGTCTACAGTCATCAACTTCACCAGAAATAGACACTTTCTAAGCAATGAGTTACTTACCTGCTGCTTACTGAAGTGGTAAAGTCAGTTGCAGAACTTTTTTCCCTACCTCACGTTTGTTTAAAACCTTGTATCTTGCTCCCATCAAATTAGAGGAGTACCATTTGCAACGGCCTTTCTAGTTGTGAACATAGCAACTGTCACCTTAAACCACACTTTCCAGTCAATTCAGTGTTTTCCAAAAGTTAAACTAAGTAGTCTTCAAAAAAGGTTAAAATAAGTCCAGAATTCTGATGATGCTTGTGCAATTCCCTACTGAAAAACAATCCCTGCACTCAAAATGCACCAAGATTCAATACTTTTAACATGTGCCATGGCAGATGTGGGAAGACTTGTGTGCAGGGCTCTGAATAACAGTTTAGCAATTGTGACCCTAAGGTTGTTTGCCTGGATCAAAACCCTAATTTCACAGAACTACAAATAAAACTAGCAGTTCACCTACTGGCACTTTAGTCAAAGGAGACTGATCTAAGAAATACGCGTACTGGGATCAATTTGATTCTGATCCTTTTCTGTCATAGCTGTACTACATGGAACTAGAATGCATTACAATGTGTGTTAGAACATTCAATCACAACAGCTGTTGACAGGCAGATCATTTCTCCTTGTACAGCTCTCGAGCACAGTCAGGAGAACTACAAAATAAACATTTTTAAATATATTTCTTTAAAAATCCCAGCCATGGAGATTATGAAGATGATCTCAACATCATGGAAGTGACTGACTTATCTGGAATCATAGAATTGTTTAGGTTGGAAAGGATCTTTAAGATCATTGAGTCCAACCATAAACCTAGCACAGCCAAGACCACCACTAAACCACGTCCCTAAGCACCACACCTACAGGCCTTTTAAATACCTCCAGGGAAGGTGACTCCACCACTTCCCTGGGCAGCCTGTTGTAATGTTTGACAACCCTTTCAGTGAAGAAATTCTTCCTAATATCCAATCTAAACCTACCCTGGCGCAACTTGAGACCGTTTCCTCTTGTCCTATCGCTAGTTACTGGGGAGAAGAGACCGACCTCCACTTGGCTACACCCTCCTTTCAGGTTGTTGTAGAGGGCGATAAGGTCTCCCCTCAGCCTTCTCTTCTCCAGGCTGAGCAACCCCAGCTCCCTCAGCTGCTCCCCATCAGACTTGTGCTCCAGACCCTTCACCACCTTCACTGCCCTTCTCTGGACTCGCACCAGCACCTCAAGGGCTTTCAGGTACTGAGTGGCCCAAAACTGAACAGCCTCACCAGTGCCGAGTACAGGGGGACAACCACTGATATGAAGAATGCAGTATAGGCAAACAGCAGCAACTATACTAGCCCCAGGTGTGATGTATTTCTACTTTGATCACATTCAGTAGACTTCTGAGGCTAACCTCTACAAAAATTCAACCAATACCACATCAGGCATCTTCTGTTGATATAACTGCTGTACCCTCATTCCACACCGCAACCAGAGGCAACACTTACTGGATGCTTTATATGTTCAGCGGTGATCTCAACTCTCTGATGACAAGCCACCCAAAGATCAGATTTTTCCTACTACTTCACATTCCTATTAGGAACACAAACTATGCAGAGCCAACCATTCATCTTCCTTCCTAGTTACACGTGTGTGCCCAGCTGCATTTCCTTCTGATATTCTCAAGATTGAATTACTTTGATTTCAGAGAATCTGTAGATTGGGAAGACATTAAGCAGAGCTGACTGAGCTTTTCATATCCAGATGTTGTAAAATTTCCACTTTCAAAATAAAAGCATGAAACTATTTCAAAAGATTTACTGGACTCTATTCTTCATAAAACTGGTAACAAATCTGAGGAGAAAAACGTTTCCAGGGCACAAACGAACACTCGCAGTTTCCAGTAATTTTTAAATATGCAAAACTGAATTTTAGGACAAAAACAAAGTGCCAATTCTGTGCTAGGTATCAAATACAAAAATTTAGTATCAGGATGACAGACACAAGTATTTCAGGGTAAGAGTTTATACAATTTGTATGATTTAGAATTTTATATACATGACTGCAATATTAGAGATCCATCAAATCTATTCTCAATTTTGAAGTTAACTGGTTGCATGATCTTGAAACTTTTAATCCTCCAGACTTATTTTTCTTTAGCAAATAAGTATCCTTAAGATGAAATGTGAGGTCAAATTTACATAGCTTTACAGAAGAAGCTACATACAATAAATCGGTGTTTAGGACAAGATCATTTTGATCTCAAAATACCAAAATGCCATACATAAGCATAGAAAAACTGGAATATCACTGAAAAAAGTATTCTGCATAGTATTATATGCAAATATAACAATTTTGAATAATCACGTTTAACGGGTACTAACTGAAAACATTACATGTATTAACAAAGTTTTATTACATACAGATCTCACTCGGGCCCCACTGCTCCCTACGCCTTCGCTCTTAAATATCCTTCTGGTCCAACATAGATTTAAGTGAAATGACAATAAACATGCACACTAAAACTAAGAAAATGCTATTAAGCTTGCAACAATCCTCTCGTCTACCCAAACCACTTCTCTGAATACCTAAAGTTTTGGATTTTCTCTGAAAAGGTCAGTACATATGAAAGACACCATCAAAAAAGAATGTGTTAGAAGGGCTGAAATTGGTTCTTCAAGAAGAAATTTACAGAGAAATATGAAGAGAAATTGGCTCAACACTGATGTAATGACTTCAGTGATTTCAGCTTTTGGTGTAACATCTTAACGACGGATTACCTGAAAAGCATAACGGCAAGAACACAAGCACTTCTCCAACAGTAATACAAGGAACCTAAAGATAGATGCTGTCAAGAGACATACCACATAAAGATACTTGTGTAACAGTACTCCAAGAAGTGTATCAAAAGCAGATCTTTGAAAAGCTTTTATCTTCCATTTGTCAGGAAGAATTCCCTACATAAACAGAAACAAGTGTGATAAAAAATGCACACTACAGCATGTTGTCACATGTCATGACACAGAACGGAAGAATGAATTAATGAAAGGAATTAAGAACAGTTTCAAAACATAGGCTGTCATGAAATTACCCCTAACCAAACCATACTTACTAGAAAAGGAAGTTGCATCCATCTTGCCAACTTTTACTGGAGAGCCCATGTTTTTCATTTCTAGACCCACTTCATTCCACACAGGCTCCAGTTTCTTGCAGTGGCCACACCAAGGTGCATAAAACTGAGAAGCAAATACATTTGATTTTTTTTAAAAAAAAAAAAAAAAAAAAAAAAAGAGAGAGAGAGAAGTTCATGAAGAGAAATACTTAGGAGAAGTTGATTTTATGATTAACTGTCAAATAATCAGCATGGCTTATTTTGCAGTCATGGTGTTTAAATCGTAATAAAACTGCAAGTTAATTACAAAGCTGGAGTGACAAACAGAGCTTTTATGATTTGGTGCTACTTTTAATATGAAAGCACAAGTTTGAAAAGAATACATTCAATTACTGTACTATTGTATGACTTTTTTTAATTTAAAAATAGACTGTTGTAACATTTACGAAAAAAAAAACCAAACCAAACCTCTTTTGCTCTTTTGGAATATCTCCCTCTTTTTTTGAGAGTCAAAAGATCATGTAATCTATCCAGGAATATGAATTTATTTGCCAATAGGGGAACACTATTCTTTGAAAGGAAGGACAATATACATGCATATGTGTGCTTCCCCAAGCTGCCCTCTGGATTTTCAGTTCTCCAGTAACTACTTTTATACAAGCACACTGTAAAATTGATCCTGTTTTCTCAGGGCTAAGCAGAGCTGAGACACTTCATCTTTCTGCCTATGTCTTCCTGCAACATCTCAGTGAAATTAATAGGGAACATATCAATGTTTTGGTATAACAAGATCAGGTCACAACTTGACAAAGTTGGGCTTTGTCTTCCTATACATTACTGATCAATTCTCAATCAGCATATATAGTTTTCCCCACTCAAAAAATCACAAATCTGAATTATACAATTTGGGAATTACGTTTATATTTTGGGTAAGCTAAATAGAATTTTATCTCATTCCCAAACAAGCTCAATCTTTTTAATAATTCCTTGCCTCTGAAATAAGGAGCACTGAAATCTTTCCGAATATGTTAGAAAAGTAAAAGAAGCGTCTCATTTGATGTTGAAGCGCTAAATGTCTAGAACACAAATTAGCTAGTATAACTAGAGAATGGAAATGTAAAAATTTGGAACAGAGGTTATCACCTCCTGACTGTAAGTGTTAGGCAATCTGCTTTCCTTTTTTAGGGACTGTAAAATATGGGATGAAGCCTGTCTACATCCTGTACTCAGTCTAAGTCCTGGTTCACCCTGAACAATACAGTTTGCTTATCCATCCTGTCAGCAGAATTACTGTCATGTAATTTTTCTGCACCATGTACAAGGGATTATCCAAACGATGAAGCAGCCTTACTACAGAGTGTAGCATTGTACATTTTGTGTTTTGTCTTCCCATTTTTCTCACATACTCACATCTACGAGCCAAATATCATCCTTACGGTTTTCTTTAAACCTAGGAGGGGAAAAAAAGGAAATCAATATATGATATATCTGAAAATAAATAAGTGAAATGCATGTGAGAAACAGGCAAAGTCTACAATTAAGTTGGTATAAAATTACAGATATGAGAATTCCGTTTTGTTTCTTTCTTTGGGGGTGGGGAGAAGGAGGAAATAGTTATTTTTCAGCATTGAGATTACCCCTGCACATGATACTACACACACAGTTGTACCAATTAGGTTTCTATAACCATTTGTCAAGACAAAAAAAATCCACTAAAACAGAAAACTAGTAAGAAAACAGAAAACACAAAAAAGATAATTAGGATATGTAATCTAAGGGGAAGAAGTATTTTGCAGCTGTTCTAGTTATATCAAATACTGTTATTGACTGTTTAGAAAATGTTGCATTTTATAGATCAGCTAATACAGAGTCTTAGAGCATTGGTTTACACTGTTAATCCTAGCTTTACTGAATGTAGACTAACTACATTATCTTTAATGTTAATGTGCAAAGCAATTTCTGTTCAACCTCCTTCAACATTCTACTATAAGCGTGTCAGTTTATGTTTTTATCGAAGGTGCACACGAGAAACCAACTTATTCGAATAAAAACGTTCAATTTACTGATAAAAACCAGAGATACACAGGTACTACTGAATACTCAATGCTAGACAAATGAAATCTTAATGAACTGACTAGCTTTATTAACTGTAGGTCTCCCATTAAATGCTAAAACCTCTAAACCAAAAATAGAACATGATAAATCAAAATTCCTTGGTACCTCTTGAAATGTTGCTTACACATTTCACTGAACTGTTGTCACTACAAGATCATAGAAATTATCGCATTACTTAAATATTTCTATGCTGAGAATTAAATAAGCCAGAACTTTGATGTAAGGTTTATTTTTGTAAAAAGCAGGCTTCATAAAAGTGACTAGAACTGGGAGAAATGTCACATGCTATAAAATACATTATACAATATTCTTACTGTAACACTCCTATTGTGAAAGGAGATGAATACACATATAATTACACAAATGTGTGATCTACACTCTAAGATCCAATTTAGGCTGCACCTCGAGTGCTGTGTTCAGTTCTGGGCCCCTCGCGACAAGAAGGTCCTTGAGGTGCTGGAGCATGTCCAACAAAGAGCAACAAAGGTGGTGAAGGGTCTGGAGCACAAGTCTGATGGGGAGCAGCTGAGGGAGCTGAGGTTGCTCAGCCTGGAGAAGAGGAGGCTGAGGGGAGACCTGATCGCCCTCTACAACAACCTGAAAGGAGGGTTTAGCCAGGTGGGGGTCGTTTTCTTCTCCCCAGTAACTAGCGATAGGACAAGAGGAAACGGCCTCAAGTTGCGCCAGGGGAGGTTCAGGTTGGATATTAGGAAGAACTTCTTCACTGTAAGAGTCGTTAAGCGTTGGAACGGGCTCCCCAGGGAGGTGGTGGAGTCACCATCCCTGGAGGTGTTCAAAAAATGTTTAGATGCAGCGCTTCGAGACATGGTTTAGTGGGCATGGTGGCATTGGGTATATGGTTGGACTGGATGATCTTTGAGGTCTCTTGCAACCATAACGATTCTATGATTCTATGATAATAGAAGTTATAGCCCAGCTTATCAATCCCCAATATGCAGCATGCCTATAAATGGCTCATATGCAGTAAGTAGAATCAGAGAACATATATTATATTTCATTTAAAATTGAATAGATTTGCTGGCTTACCGTTTGAAAGTAGTAACTCAGAAATCATGAACATAATCTAATTACAGCGCTGAGTATTTGAAACTTAGAATTGCAGCATTTCACTGGTAAATCCAAGCCTTTTTTGTTTTATTGATAACATACTAAGGTTGCAACGCTTATACAGCGGCACAGGTATTTGCAGTGACTAACATAAAACTGGTCCAGAAAGCAGTGGTTTTAAGTCACAAAATTGTTTAGTCGACCACCTCATTAAAAATTTACTTCACCACCCTAACTGCTACAGAGCTAATGAAAGAACTAGGTAGAGCCTAGTATCTCTAGAGAACTCTAATGAAGCTCCAGTTAATTTCCAATTACAATGTCAAATAATTGGTTATGATGCAAGAGGCAGAAAGCAGCTACTGAATTATCAGATCCTGGTCCGTGCTTCCATTTAGAATATCACCTTTGGTTTGTACAAGCAGAATTTACAATGAAATGTTCTCCTCCCCCTGCCATAGTAGGACTGTTACGGAAGATTGCAAAGAGCATGAAAGCACTGAGAAAGGTAGACTGAAATCTTACAAAACCAGTAGGCAGCAAGGAAAAGAGGGAAAGAAAGGAAATGCCTGGAGAGAGAACATTCCAATGGAATTTAGTAACTCTGGCCTAAGATACTACTAAAAATACTGTAGTTTTTACAATAATAAATGTTGAGTTGTACTCCTCATTTACAAGCACCTATTTAATCAACTTCCACAGAAACTAAAATCTGAAGTGTGACAAAAACCAACTATCTAAACTCATTCTAGTTTTGGAAATGTCAATGATTAAATTATTAGATAATATTAAGAAAGTTCAACATACAGCTGAAGAGAAATAACATTTAAGAGATCTCTGTTTAAGCATTTTCTGAAGGTGCTATTCCTACATTTCCCAGCATTAAGTTTCAGTGTCTCTTTTTAACTGTCCTACGCAATCCTCTCCCTTAGATGACACAGGCACAATCACTACCGGTGGTAAGATGCCATAGGTGTTGTATAACCTTGAATCAAAATTATTTGTCTCAAATACATACAACTCCCCAACATTTGGCACTACACGATCAGACACTGCCTCAGCCTTCACTTAATCCATACACCCCATTTAATCATTAACGGTTAAAAGAAAACAGCATGAAGAGCAAGGCCACAATTCCAAGGGCCTTAAACTGACTCAGCTGCTGTTTCTATTCCTCCCTGTCTCCATTCTCACTCCCCCTGCACCACTTCTGATCCTGGGTTGAGCTACCAATGCATCCTCACAGGCAGAAAAATATTTTCTTGTTCAGCCAGGTTACTTATCTGCTTCATTATCGCACTGGAACAAGTCAGCAAATATCGCAAGATGAGCACTGATCTGAGGCAGCCGGCAGTTAGATCAGCATAAGCTGATAGGAACCATAGCTCTTATTTTGCATCCTTTCCACAGCCCAGTTGGGTGATGCCGGGTAACCTGCACCTCTGCTAGTTCTTCTCTGCTACTTGCTTTCCTATATCCTGGAAGCTTGAGCAAGGGACCTGCATCTTGTGCTAACAGGCATTGTTTGCAACTACCAAAATTCAAATAAAACCCAAAGTTTTCAGCAACAGCAAAAACTCCATAATGTTTAGGTACCTATAAAATGGAAAACTTGAAGCTTTCACCAGTCACTGCTCCCACTTTTTTTTGTTTCCCTGACCTTTTTTGCCATCTGCCAATTAGCTAAAAATTAAAAAAAACCCCACAAAACCAAAAATCAACTCCTGTTCTGAACGACTCATCATTTAATTCTTATTCCCAGCTGCAACTACAGGCATCTGTATAGTTTTGCAGTCAAAAAATCCCAGTGTTCTAAAATAGGATTTTCATTTATCAGATACTTCAAAAAAGTTATGTGACTACAGAATTATACTTCTTCACTCCAAAACAGCAATTCCACTTAAATTTACACCTGTGGAAACATGATATGGGAATGTGATGCAGGAGCACAGATAAATCCTATTTTATTCACTTATTCTCTTCATCTTCAGATGCCTCTTCTTTATGAGGCATGTTTCAAAAACAAGCTTTGAAAATCAAGTCCAAGCAGCTCCAGTGCTTCAGTTGCTTTTTCACAACACTTTAAACACCAGTCAGAGATGCTGACGTATCTCTCTTCAGTACCGCTTCCACACATTCCCATTCCCTCCCCCATAATTCCACTGCACCTCATTTGATCCTATGATTATCTGCTCTAGCTGCATAAGCAAAATGGTAAAAAAGTGAATGGTTTTCTGACTGTTTAATTGCTCTATAATGCAATTTATCATGGATTGAACCCTCATGAAAACATTGCCTTTGACTGGCTTAAATTTATCATGAAGCAGCCATCTACTGCCACTTTCTCCTCCCCTACCAGGTAGTATTTTCTATACCTTCTATTTCAACTGTAATAATCATGCTGCTTTGTAGCGCTTTAGATCAACCTGCTGATGTGACAAAAAAAACTTAATTTCATTCTTGGAAAGTTAGTTTTTATTTGGAACAGCAAGTACGTAGCCATCAAACTGCTAAAGCAAGGCAGTACACGAACAATGACACTACACGACCAAGTTAAGGGCAGGACTACCCATTTCAACACCTCTACAGTCTCAGGGTTAAATCTGTTGTAAAAGCACATTTTTATATTGGAATATAATTGGCACTTCAAGAAGCCATGAACTAGTCCTGCAGGTCTCCTTCTCTCTTCCGTTTCTGGCCATGCATGAATGCACTTATACTTGTTCTCCCAATTCCTCGGGGCAGCTACGCAGCAAACTCTGATGAAGAATTTGGCTAAACGCAATCAGCTTTTATTTGGGGCAGGCATCAATCCACCAATATATTTACTGTACCAAAAAGAAACAAAGAGCAAGGATGCCTGAGAACGTTTTTGGCAACAGCACCTGTAATAACAGCTTTCTTAGAAACTGCAAAAGTAAAGCGTTTCTCAGCGTCATTAATTGCATTTGCTTAATACAGACAACAATCTTTCTACCGTTCCTAAGAAAAACTTTTCCAGTGTAGCTTTCTTGACAATCACCCTCCGTACAAAGCGGTCAGTCTGGGCTCATGCTCCCCTCAAAAAGATAAATAATATTTAAGGAGTAAGGCAAGACACCCCAGTACTTACGACTCATCCAGATCCTCCACAAAACCCGCACCTGACGCCACCATATGCGCAACCACTGCGAGGTAAGGAAAAGCGTACCGTGAGTGATCTCCGACCCAAACCGGGGCTGCTCACCCCGCCAGCTGACA